CCCTTCAATTTCCATTTCACATGCCTTTTCCATATCTTCCTTTTTTCCAAAATAAATTGCAATATATAGTTCGCGATTATCTCTATTTTTTTCAGTTCTGATTGTAATAATATTTTTGTCTAATGCTGAAGTAATATTTTGAATTTTCTCCTTTAAATTTTTTCCCTTAACTACTGATACTTTTACCTAGGCTTTATATTTTTCCAATTTTGTCATTTTTCTCCACTCTTCATGTTCACTTTGGAAGCTGTTTACTGTTACCACTGACTCACTGTCACTAGCCTTTTCTTTACTAATTTTTGCATTATTGTTGTATACTTCTTTTGCTTTGTCTTTATTATTTTTTGATGTATTTTTTCCTTCCATTTCTTTATTCAATAAAGTTTCTGTTTCCATATTTGCATTTATTTCTTGACTCTGTTCAATAGTATTATTGTTTGTTGCTGTTATTTTCATATTACTGTTCAAAGTTCCTGCTCCAGAGCTTAAAAGGTTATAACCTGTTTAGATAATTCCTTCTATACTTAAAGTGTTGCGAACTGCTTCTCCACCTTTCTTGCTGATGCTTATTGTTTCATATTTCTTTTTAGTTCCATAGTTTGCTGTGGTTCATCTAGGATGTATACGTTCACCTTACTTTTCCTCATTCATGTTTTACTGTTGTTTGTATTATTTGTTTGTAGTGTTTTTTATATTTTTCTCTTCCTTGAAAATTCTGACAAAATAATCGTCAGAAAGAGTTTATTTGATTTTTTCCAGTATTTATGACATAAATATTATTCATTCATTTGTATTGTCATATCTTAAATGGTTTAAAAGAAAATAATAATATATTTGTCAATAATCAATTTAGTTAGTCTTATCCATATAAACTAATTTGGCTCTATTTGATTTTTTTTTTGATATTTTAGGTGAGTTGTAATACAATAAAATAATCAAGTAAGCAATGTTGATCAAAATTAATTATAAAACTTAATTTTTTTTATATTTCTTTATAATATCAAAGAACATAGTAGATTGGTTATAAATTGGTTTATAAATTAGTTTTCAAATTAGTTGGAATTACATACTTAATTAAAAATTATATATTCTTAATTATATAACTATAATAGAAAATAAATATTATTATATTTATATAAGATTTATAGTATATAGATTTAACAGATTTATTATAATTATTAGTTTTTTTATAGAATAAATATATAGATAAATATGTACTATACATATTTTAATATTATAAAATAAAATAAAAATATATACAAATATATTTAATTAAAAAAAATTAAAATATACTTTCTTTTTTAAAAAATAATTCTCTAAAAGTTTCAAACTTAATGATATTTTATTTAAATAAATAATAATTATTTTTGTTATTTTGTTTGTTTTGTTTATTTCATTTATTTCATCTTTTTTATTATATAATATCATGTAAATAATAATTAATTATAATATATTTTTTTATATTATATATATAATATAAAAATATTGATTAAAATCAAATCAGCTTATATGTTATAAATAATAAACAAAATAATAAATACTAGTGAAAATATTTATGATCAAGTTTTTGAACAATGAAATAGAATTTATTATCAATATATAATGGTATACTTTATTAAATAATTTTTATTAATAAATGTAATTACAAAATAATATATATAAAAGGCTAAACTAAATAGAATTCTGACTAAAATAAAATCAAATTAATTGTTTTAAAAACTAATGAAAATTCTTGAAAAAAATTCATTATCTTATTATTTACTATCATTTATCCTTTATCTCCATTATCTTTGCATAACAAATGGTAATATTATTTTCAATAATTATTTAAAAAATAAAAATAGTTTTATATATTGTTTGTTATTCTTTTCATTTTTATTATATAATAGTTTATCATTTAAATTATTTTAATACTAACTTGTGACTATTGTTATATTAAAAAAAGACAATATATAGTGATTATTAAAGTTCAATAAAAAAATAATTACTTATCTTATCATTCTATAACATTATTCAAATGACACTAATATACTAAAATTATCATCAGGAAATTTTTGAAAGCAAATACAGTATATCCAAATATATTTGAACTGAATATATCTGAATATATTTGACCACCCACGTATTTATCTACATTAAATATTTGAATTTATCTGAATAAATATGTAAATATATTCGCATATATTCATTTATTCAAATTTATCTGAACTATACTTGCACGCAAAATTATTTTGGGACCCGAAACCCGAAATATAAATACCCCGAAATTGACCCCGAAATACCA